GCGGGAACAGCACCAGCAGCGCCTTCGTCGCCTTGCGGTACTGCTGAGTCTCGGCCGTGTTGGCTGATTGCAACTTGGTGATCAGCACCTACGGCAGTTGTGTACTTTTAGGAACACTACACTCTTATATCGACGTAATAGAAATGAAAAGCCGCTCTTAACGGCCTGCGACTATTAAGCTTTTAACGTCAGCCATCCTTTAAAAGCAATCGAAACATGAATTGAAGGAAAGGTGCTTTTTGATTTCTGCTATTCAATGCAAACGTATTTATTATTTAAATATTACTTTTCATAGAATAAAGTAACGTTGCGAAAAACATTAAAACACACGTGTTAAAACTAGTTGGGAAGTGAAAAGTATTCAAATCTGTTCAGGGTAAGGGTTCGTTTGGAAAAAACGCATGTAATAAAAACGTATTATTCTTACGTGAAACATATATCAAAATCAAGTAGGTATATAACAAGAAAATATAATATCGACAAGTGTATAATTTTCTATTCAAAAATTTAACGATTATTCAGTTCATTGATTGATTGATTAGAGTTTCTGGGTACTGGAACTACTAAGGAGATTACTAATGTAGGTGTAGTGCGTGTTTTTATTGTGGAAGGTGGAAGTTATCTTCCATCCTTGGCCGAGATATGGCGCCGATGTACCCGTCGGCTTGTGAGACTTTCCTCAACCAGGTGTATTCTACCAGCTGGACACCGCCCATGCCGTGTCAAGCTCTAGTCTCCCGACATGTGTGGTAGTGTAGTGCATGTAAGTGTGAGAGGTAAGTAAGAGACGATAGGACAAGAAAGAGAAAGAAAAGATCGCTCGCGGTCCGTGGCCCGTTTGATGTGGTACTGCTCCGATTCTCTGCTGGTCTCGAAAGGAGAAAGCACAAAAGACTTCCGATCAGAGCAGCCGGCCGCTAAAATTCTTCTCCAGTTAAGGAGTGAATTCGCCCCTATTATCCAGTTAATGTGGAAAATCGGGGTTCGAATCCTTGGTCCTCCCGGAGGCACTTCAGTGACCACAATGACATCATGGCACATCCGTGACACATAAGCCAGTCGATTATTCAATTAGAACCTTAATCATAACATGTGTTTCATAAGTGGCGTAAAATATTTGGAGAATTAAAACAGAAGAATTAAAATACTCCACCATCGCTTTGACCTTTCATTTGGGTTTTCAAATATTGAATGTGACCATATTTAACGAAAATGTTCACTGCTAAAATCACCTTTAAATACGGTACGATATACTCGGTGCAACCGATTAGCATTACGCGCGGTGAAGAGAAAGATTAATTCTAAATAGCTGAAGCTACGTATTTCTTTAAATCGATTCTGTTCTTAGCGCCTATACATTGTCTACTGTACTCTCAAGGGACTATTTCAACAAGTGCAGGTGCAGAAAAAAATTTGGTGAGTTTTGGCCACGCTGTTTTTGCTAACGCTAAGGACAACCCTTGTTGCAGCAAACGAGTCATGTAGTGCTGTCATTGCTCGGTAAGATATCCTCTTACCGGTAACTTATGTTAAGCAGTTCGCTGGGTGGAAAGAAGTAGTTCATTTCTGGAAACATTGTGACAAGGTATAATAAGGTTTAATAAATCTTTGGATTCATTATTCTTATTCGCCAGTCAGTTACTAGGTATTTCTCGCAATTATTTTGAATATCGATTATTTTATACCATTAATAAAAACCACTATATTGATTATATTTAGACCAATTAATATACAGATCAATTTAAATTTACGACAATATAGTTCGATCATTTCAATTAAATTTTAAATGTTTGGGCTATAGACTGTTTATACATGGAATGAACAGGGTCCTCTGGTCCAACTGAACCGATCAATAACTGTTCAGCTACTCGGAGACGATTTACATCCATTCATGGACTTTTGTTCCCCAGAATGACTGAATTTTTATGGATGACATTGTGCCATGTCACTGGACTACAATTGTTCGGGATTGGTTTGAAGAATATTCTGGGCAAATCGAGAGAATGATTTTGCCACCCCGATCACTCAACAAGAATCCCGACGAACATTTATAGGACATAATCGAGAAGTCAGTTTGTGCATAAAATCGTCCCCCGGCAACACTTTCGCGTTTATGGACGGCTATAGAGGCAGGATGTCTCAATATTTCTACTGGGGTCTTCCATCGACTTCTTGAGCCCATACCACGTCGCGTTTCTACACTTCTCTGGGCAAAGGAAGGTCCATCACGATATTGTGAGCTCTCACAGGATTTTTGTCATCACAGTGAAGATTAACGTTAGTTTTTGTAAAATTGTATTTACTAGAGAACTTTCCATGTAGTTAGGCCACTATAAAACAAAAAGGGAGTTTGGTTTGGTCAGCATTTTCGAATTATTAAAGAAGCTACTCACCCACATGATGGAAAAAAGGAAGACTAGGTTCACTGCAAGAACTGTAATGACAGGGGCTTGGTGGATCCAATCAAAGTAATCCTCAGCCATCCACGGACAGTGCTTGATCAGTAACACCATTGGATGGGATTCGCCCTAGAATGAAAATCGAATATATATTTTATAAAACACAACAGATAAATTAAAAAACAATAAATATATGTGTTTAATGCATATTGTAATTGAGATGTAATGCATAAATCCATCACAATGAACTTACTACGCTAGTTTATTCAGTTTCTTACCAACTCAATAAGTACCAATGCAAAAAGTAGTAAGATGAAGTTAATTAGATTTAAGTACTAAAATCGAAGGAAACAGTGTTAAATTTGACAGGGAAAAAATGAAGTGTTACTTATTTTGAGTGTAAATAGCGTTTACATTTCCTTATTTTGTGTGTAAATAGCGTCTGTATAAGAAAATTCCCAAATATGGTTATCAGAAATTCTAACATTGTGTAATCTACCCGGCAAGCAGAGGCCCTTGTTCTCATCTGGATTGTAACTGGCTATAATAATAGTAATAGTAATAGTAATAATAATAGTAATAGTAATAATAATAATAATAATAATAATAGTAGTAGTAATAATAATAATAATAGTAGTAGTAATAATAATAGTAGTAGTAGTAGTAGTAGTAGTAGTAGTAATAATAATAATAATA